GGTACAGTGATGGGGAACAGTGCCACACTGTCTCCAACCAAGAAGGGTCTCGAAACTACCCTTCACAAGGGCCTACACCAACTGAAATGTTACACTACACTTTGTAATGTAACTATCTTCAATATCTTGAGGTGTAGCCTTTTGGCGAGCTTCGAAAACACTTGAAGCTTGAACCAAGGCTCGGGTTCTTCATCACAAAACTCATCCTTGAGTTCTTGATGGGTCTGCTGCACACACCTGCGACACGCCGAACGTTCGACAAGCGACAAAACAGAAACCGCGCACGGGACACACGACAAAATAGAAACCGCGCGCAAGACACAAATGACGCCTGCAGGTAAGAACCCCAGTGTTGAATGTTTGATAGTGGATTGATTTCCCCCCGTATGTTGTTCTAACACCATCTCCCCTACTTTGACTTGTGGTACAGGAAACATCAAGAAGCCGCCCCTTGCGGTGGTGCTCAGGTGGACCTCATGAGCCTTGAAGGCTGTGCCGTCTGAGCTTATCAAGAAGGCCTCCCTCACTTGTGGCATCAGCAATGCGCTTGACGACAGTGAGAACGGCCTTGCCATGGCGCACAGGCGGAGTCAGTGTCAAAATAGGAGCTAGAATCATGAGCCATAGCTAGGTAAACCCTAGCTAGGCAAGAGAGAAACGAGCAAAGGAGAGTTTGCACTAGCAAGAATGGGGATACAAATAGCAAACCCTAGAAGGGTTGTACTCGCTATAGAGCACCCCACTACAGGCTAGAACATAATATTCTGACACACCCCCATAGCCAAAGTGGGGTGTAATCAGCAGAGCAAGCAAAGCAGTACAAGCTCAGGGTGGATCACAATGTCACCACACATTCTGAGCACAAGTTCAAGAAGCAATAGTTTAAAGTTCACAATTATGAGCAAAGCTAGAGGTAGTCACAGAGGGCAAGTGAGGAGGAGGAGGGCTGGCGAGGGGAGAGAGGAGTGGAGGCGACGACTGAAGCTGCAGACACACGGGCAACAGACGGCTCTGGTGCAGCTCTAGTGGCTACCGGGAGCAAGGGCCCCGGAATACAGGAGTAACAGGCTCTGCGTCTGATCAGCAGCGACAGGAGCAACGGACCCACGGGCGACAGGTGCAACCGGCTCTCTGAGCTACCGGTGGCTATCAGAACCCCGGAATACAGGCGCTGCAGACGACACGACGGCTGCCTCCACCCAACCTCCTCCAACTGTCCCACACCCCCCAACACACACCCCCTGCTGCAACCCCTAACTCCACTCCCACGTCACCCCCCTAGCACCACTCCTTCGGCTCCCCACACACCCACCCCCCTCAGCGGCAGCTGCAGTAGTGGGAGACGGAGGAGGAGGAGGAGCAGGGGACGGCTCACACTCACGGCACCCCCATACCCTCCACCCCCAAACCCTAACACAGGAACGCGGGCAGTAGCGGGGGTGGGGCGCCGGCAGAAGCTCGGGGGACGGACGAGGCGCGCGCACGGGCCTGCCGCAGGCCGGACGAGGCGCGCGCGGGCTGCCCGGGCCGCGCGCGGGCCTGGCGCAGCCCGTACGGGCCGCGCGCGGGCCTGGCGCAGGCCGTACGGGCCGCGCGCGGGCTGTACGGGCCGCGCGCGGGCCTGGCGCAGCCCATGCGGGCCGCGCGCGGGCCTGGCGCAGCCCGTACGGGCCGCGCGCAGGCCTGGCGCAGCCCGTACGGGCCGCGCGCGGGCCTGGCGCAGCCCGTACGGGCCGCGCGCGGGTCCCAGGGGCGCTTCGACGGGCGACGGGGGCGTTTCGACGGGCGACGGGGGGCGCTCCGACGGGCGACGGGGGCGCTTCGACGGGCGACGGGGGGGAGCGCTTCGACGGGCGACGGGGGGCGCTTCGACGGTGGGAAACCGCCGCGCGCCTCGGGGCGCACGGCGGGCAGAAAACCGCCGCGCGCTCGGGGCGCGCGGCGGGAAGAAAAAAAAAACGAACATCGCGCGCCACGGGACGCGCGACACACAGGAAGGCAGCGGAAGCAGGCGGGCCCACAGGCCAGGAGCGTAACCGCTCTGATAGCATGTCAAGATACTAAGCACCCAGAGAGCTAGGTTTAGGCTTAGAAAGCATAGTTAGGAGTAGGAGCTAGGGCTTAGCCTAGACACAAGAGAGATGTCAAAGCAAGAAGGAGAGTTTGCACTAGCAAGAATGGGGATACAAATAGCAAACCCTAGAAGGGTTGTACTCGCTATAGAGCACCCCACTACAGGCTAGAACATAATATTCTGACAGTCAGCTGATCTACGAGATCAACGTCGATGACAAGATCATCGCCAATGGATTCTTTGGCAACAACTGCGAGGAGCCTGAGACAGACGACGAGTAGATTCTAGCTAGGAATGTAAAACTTCTTAATGTGTAGTGAGTATATTGGTAGATAGACATGCGCAGATTTCATGCTACTGTAGGTTCTAATGTTTAGATCAATAAAATAGTGGAGAGATTACCCCGTGGATGAAAGGGATGCGCTTGTAATAAGTACATGGATTTTATAGGGTGCGCTTATAATTGAGGACCGGCCATAAGCGCATGGCTCCAGATAATAGCCCCGGTGCCTTTAATTGGACGGCGCTATTATCCGGGGCGATAATGTGTTATCTGTTGGAAACATATAGTTCACGCTTCTGATGTGTCGAACACTACAATGTAAGCGAAGCGAACTACAGCGAAGCAACGGCGAGTCAACCGAACTATAGCGAAGCGGTTGACAAAAGAAGCAACAGTAAGAGGTTAAGGGCCACGTATCTTTTGGTGTAGATTGTCTAAGCTCCGCCAAATCCACGTGGCCAACGCGTCCCTCTACGCTCCCGTCGGCGCGGAAATTTTCGTCGAACAGCCACACGGATTTGTCACAGACCCCAATCAAGTCAGTCAGCTACTGAAATCACTGTACAGCATCAAGTAAGCCCCATGACTGTGGCAACATTACCTACACGCCCAATTAATCCACATCGGCTTTCGTCAACTGCGACACAATCAGGGAACGTACCGACTCATAAAGGCCGCCGAGTACATCCTGCTAATCGTCTATGTAGACGATCTGCTCTACATAGGCTCCACCGACGGCATCACCACCTGGTTTGAAGAGGAGCTGCAGCAGGATCTCCCACTCACCGACTCCTCCATTGTAACTCAATATCTAGGACTCAATATACTCGACGGGGAAAACTCGATCTACCTCAGCGCCGCTAAATACGCCGACACCATCGCAGAACACTTCGGCCTAACGCCAGTCGCCGTCTCCACGCAGTATCGCTATACCACGGGAAATCACAAGGGAGAGACTGCTCCGCTCGGACCTGCCGGCCTACGCGACTACTAGCGAAAGCTGGGATGCTTGCTCTTTGCAGCCGTTACCGGCCAACCCGACCTGTCGTACTGGGCGATATAATTTGACACCTATCTCAAGAATCCCGAAGCGGAACACATGGCGGAACTCGATCGCGCACTACACTACCCTCGCCAACACACCAACAGTCAGCTTGACCTACCACAAAACCAGAACCATAATTCCAAAACTAATCGGCCATGTGGATGCTGACCACGCTGGCGATTCCGATAAAAGGTGATCGCGCACCGGCTACATCTATCGACTCGAGCCTACCGGTCCTATCTCGTGGCAGTCGAGCAAGCAAGAGCTAATTGCTCTCTCCTCAGCTGAAGCAGAATACATTGCACTCTGCTCAGCCACCAAGGAAGGGCTGTACCTTCGCGGGCTACTGGAAGAAGCAAAGCTGGCCCAGTTATCCGGCTTCTCTGTCTTCTGCGACAACCAATCGGCAATTCGCATAGCGAACAAGAACGGGTTCGCGAACCGAACAAGCACATCGCCCTGCGATAATTCTTTGTGAAGGACGAGATCGAGAAAGGAAGACTCGAGCTATCCTACTGCCCCACATCCGAGATGGCAGCAGATTGTTTGACCAAGAAACTCAAAAAGCAGAAGTTCGAGTACTGCATGCTGCTGACTGGACAAGGCCACATCACCTGCTACGAAGGTGATGACACTCCCGGAGCTAAGGGGAGTGTTGGAAACATATGGCTCGCACTTCTGATGTGTCGAACACTACAATGTAAGCGAAGCGAACTACAGCGAGTCAACCGAACTACAAGCGAAGCGGTTGACAAAAGAAGCAACAGCAAGAGGTTAAGCGAAGGTCAAAGGCCAGCGACCTTTGACTCGCCAAAAGCAGAACGACAGCAAGGACACATAACTGACTCGCTATTTAGCCGTTTACACCCGAGTTGTCGCTGTATCGAACTGCAACAGTAGTGAGTTAAAACCTTTCATATTCCTTGTAATCATATAAAAAGCTTTGTATCCCCTTGCTATAATCAACTTATCTTGTTCTCACACACCAGCACAAGGTGGTTCAATCAATTCACTAAGACGCTTCCGCTAATACATCATTATCCTGAGACTTAGTCTTGAAAACGATCCTAAGGGCCTTTTCTCAGCCCAACATTATCCTCATGCAGCGGTGCAGTGGAGCATGCAGCGGTGCAGTGGAGCATGCAGCGGGGCAGTGGAGCATGCAGCGGTGCAGTGGAGCATGCAGCGGTGCAGTGGAGCATGCAGCGGTGCAGTGGAGCATGCAGCGGTGCAGTGGAGCATGCAGCGGTGCAGTGGAGCATGCAGCGGTGCAGTGGAGCATGCAGCGGTGCAGTGGGGCATGCAGCGGGGCAGTGAGGCATGCAGTGAGGCACTGAGGCATGCAGTGAGGCAGTGGGGCATGCAGCGAGGCAGTGAGGCATGCAGCGGGGCAGTGAGGCATGCAGCGGGGCAGTGAGGCATGCAGTGGGGCAGTGAGGCATGTACCACACGATGGCAGTGACAAGCTCTGGGGCCAGCAGCAGCGGGGTTGAGGGCGGCGATGCAAGTGAGAGGGCGGCGATGCAAGTGAGAGGGCGGCGATGCACAGGTCAGAGTGAGAGGGCGGCGATGCAAGTGAGAGGGCGGCGATGCATAGGTCAGAGTGAGAGGGCGGTGGACAGGGAGGGGTGGGAGAGCGATGCGGTGGCGCCTTCAATCAACATGCGCTGCCGCTTTCTGTGCCGCCTTTGCTGGCGCCGCGTGAGACACACAGGCGAGGGGGACACGGGCGAGGGGGACACGGGTGAGGCGACTGCACGGCCGCCACCCACAGGCACCATGGAAGGCGTGCTGGGCCGTGTTGCAGCCTGCGTGTGGCCCGGCCCCACATCGACCCCTTTTGCCCCGCGGTGATGCCTCCCTGCCTCACCCCCTTGTCTCGCAGCCTCCTCTCTCCGTCTGCGCCACTGCCTCTGCCGCCTCCTCTTGCGCGCCTTGAGAGCTGCGCTGAGGGCGGCTCTGCCAGCCCCGCCAGCACTGAGGGCGGCTCTGCCAGCCCCGCCAGCACTGAGGGCGGCTCTGCCAGCCCCGCCAGCACTGAGGGGCGCCAGCACTGCACCGCCTCGCCGCCCGCCATCCCATCCACCTGCTGCCTCCCCACTGCTCGCCCCACTGCCATCCTCATTCTCGTCCGCGTCCCCCTCCACCTCGCCCTCCACCTCCCCCTCAACCTCGCTCTCCACCTCCCCCTCCTCCGCATTAACAGCCCCACTCACCCCATTCATGTGCTCCTCGCTCTGCCCTGCCCTCCTTCCCCCCCTGCCTCCCCTCCCTCTCCCTGCGCTCCCCGCCCTGCGCATCCCTCCCTCCCGCACGCTCCCTCCCTGTAGTTGCTCCTCCCTCGCCCTTTTCCTCCCGACCTTCCTCTCTCCTTCCCTCTCCCTCTCCCTCTCCCTCTCCCTCTCCCTCTCTCTCTCCCTCTCCCTCTCCCTCTCCCTCTCCCTCTCCCTCTCCCTCTCCCTCTCCCTCTCCCTTTCCCGCTCCCGCTCCCTCTCTCCCGCTCTTCATCCCGCGCCTCGCCTGCCATCGCCTGCACGCCCCTCCCCTCCGCACGTCTGCCCGACCGTGCTGCCATCCACTCGCCACCTGCGCCCTGCACTGCCTCACCTGCGCCCTGCACTGCCTCACCTGCGCCCTGCACTGCCTCACCTGCGCCCTGCACCGCCTCACCTGCGCCCTGCACTGCCTCACCTGCGCCCTGCACTGCCTCACCTGCGCCCTGCACTGCCTCACCTGCCGCGCCGCCACTAACCCTGCCATGCCCGCTACCCCCCCACTGCCACTTGCACCTCTGCCATCTCTCCCCTGCCCGCCGCCCGCATCCTTCGTTGTGACATCATCTCCTACTTCCCCTTCCCTTTCAAACCCTTCCTCCATTTCCTCCACACTTGGCTTCCCTCTTCCCTCCTCGCGCTCTTCCACTCCTCCCTCTTCCCCTTCTTCCACCGGCCCCTCTCCTCCACTCTCTCCTCTCTCCTCTACCCTCATCTCTCCTCCCTCCGCTCCTCCCTCCCCACCTTCCTTCCCTAATACCTTCTCTTTTCCCTCTTTTCCGCCCGTCGCCCCTCCCTCCAGTCCCCTCTCCTCTTGCCCCACCCCTGCCAATCGCCCCACCTCCGCCCGCTGCCCCCGCCACACACGTCGCATCCTGCCCCGCCGCAGCACCCCTCCCTGCAGCGCCTCCCGCGCTGCCCGCTCCATTCTTCTCGCCGCCTTTCTCTGTCTCATCAACTCGCTCCCCCCCTCTTTTCCCTTGGCTGCCGTCACTCCCCTCGCTGTCATCCACCACAACCACATCCGCCTCCTCCCCCTCGCCCTCCCCTTTCCCTTCCCCTTCCCCATCCCGATCCCCCTTCCCTTCCCCCTGCCCCTGTTTGTCCTCCGCGCCCTCCGTCTGCCCCTCCAGACACCACACACCATCGGAGCTGCATGCCCCACCGCCCTGCTCTTGCGTCGTCTCGCCCTCCCCAACCACCTCCACCACATCGCTCTCCTCCCTCCCCTCCACCTCCATTCGCTCCTCCCCACCCGCTCCCTCGCTCTCCACTTCCATCCTCCCAATTCCCTCCTCGCGCTGTTCTGCTTCCACCTCCTCCTCATCCATCTCCTCCTCCATCTCCTCCGCCTGCCCCACCCCCCCAAGCTGCGCCACCTCTCCCTCCGCTTCCTCCTCTCCCTCCGCTTCCTCCTCTCTCCCTCCGCTTCCTCCTCCCCCTCCGCTTCCTCCTCCCCCTCCGCTTCCTCCTCCCCCTCCGCTTCCTCCTCCTCCCCCTCCGCTTCCTCCTCCCCCGCTTCTTCCTCCTCTCCCTCCGCTTCCTCCTCCCCCCCCGCTTCCTCCTCCCCCTCCGCTTCCTCCTCCCCCTCCGCTTCCTCCTCCCCCTCCAATTCTTCCTCCTCTCCCTCCGCCTCCTCCTCTCTCTCCGCTTCCTCCTCCCCCTCCGCTTCCTCCTCCCCCTCCGCTTCCTCCTCCCCCTCCGATTCCTCCTCTCCCTCCGCTTCCTCCTCCCCCTCCAATTCTTCCTCCTCTCCCTCCGCTTCCTCCTCTCCCTCCGCTTCCTCCTCCCCCTCCGATTCCTCCTCCCCCTCCGCTTCCTCCTCCCCCTCCGCTTCCTCCTCCCCCTCCGATTCCTCCTCCCCCTCCGATTCCTCCTCCCCATCTGCTTCCTCCTCCCCCCCCGATTCCTCCTCCCCATCTGCTTCCTCCTCCCCCTCCGATTCCTCCTCCCCATCTGCTTCCTCCTCCCCCCCCGATTCCTCCTCCCCCTGCACTCCCTCCTCGCCTGCACCGCCCGCGCTGCTGCCAGGCGAGCGGTGTAGCCCCGCCCGCCCAGGCACGGGCAAGGGCACCTCCACCACGTCGCTCTCCTCCTCGCCCTCCCCCACTCCTTCGCCCTCCATTCCATCCTCATCACCTTCCTCCTCCTCCTCCCCCTCCTCCTCCTCCTCCTCCTCCTCCTCCTCCTCCTCCTCCTCCTCCTCCTCCTCCTCCTCCTCCTCCTCGTCCCCCTCCTCTTCCTCCTCCAGCTCCTCCAACTCCTCCTCCCTCACCTCCCTCACCCCCAGCTCACCCAGAACTCCCCACGCCCTGCTCGCCGCATCATCAGCCGCGCCGCCCTCCCTCCCACCCGCGTGCATCCCTGCGCTCGCCTCATCATCGTCCGCCTCCGCGTCTGCTCGGCCCGCCCCTCCCCCCGCCTGCCCACCATCGCGGCCCACCAGCAGCAGGCGCTGCCGCTTCTCTCGGCGCCAGCGGGCGAGCGCCACGAGGCGGGCCTCACCGGGCGCCATGTGGGGGTTGTGCCGCCGCACGCGCCACGTCTCCCGCTCCACCCACTCTCTCATCGCCGCCCGCTCCACGCCCGCCCCCGCCCTCCCTGCCGCCGTCGCCCTGCTGCTGTCTGCACTGGTGGGGCGTGCAGCGGCGGTGGGTGCGGCAGGGGAGGCCGGGCGGGGGGCGGTGAAGAGGCGCTGCTGCAGGCGGGGGGAACGCCGCACGCGCTCTGATGGGGCCGAGGGGGCTGAGGGGGGAGTGGGCGTGGCTGTGGGGGTGGGGTTGGCTGTGGGGATTAAGGTGGCATGGAGTGGGCGTGGTGACAGGGATGGCTCTCCAGCACTGGCAGCACCCCCTGCAGCCCCGCCACTGGCAGCAGCAGGTGCAGCAGAAGCGGCAGCAGCAGTGGCAGGCAGGGACGGCGGGGCAGCAGGAGGATGCGCGGCGGGCGAGGAGGCATCCAGAGCGGGCAGGGGCGGGAGTGGCGGCACTTGGGTGCGTGCAGCACAAGGTGTGCGGGCACGTGCAGCAGCACGGGGACGCGGGAGGGAAGGAGGAGCGGGAGGGACCGGGCGGGTGGGCGGTGAGCGGAGTGCCGCAGAGGCAGAGGCAGAGGCAGGAGGCGCGGCAGAGGGGGGAGCAGGGGCAGCGGGGGTGAGAGCAGCAGCAGGTGGCGGTGGAGTGACAAAAGCGGCGGGCACATGGAGAGACGGGTGGGGGGGCGCGGGGGCAGCAGGGAGGGGAGCCATGGCGTGGGGCGTGATGGAGGCGAGGAGGTGGGGCGTGATGGAGGCGAGGTGGTGGGGCGAGATGGAGGCGAGGAAACGCAGCTCTGCAAAGGGCAAGTCTATGGGCGCTCCTTCTGCCATGCCATGTGCGATGACGTCACCATGCACGCCCACATGCATGCACACCCACATGCATGAGCCCATACGCACATGCGCACGCCCACACACAAATGCACGCAGGAAAGAGGAGCACGAGGTTATCAGCCCACCGCAATCAGAAGGTGCATCGGGTGTGCATCGGGTGTGTCCTTGACCCTAAGCATCCTCTACTTTCTCTCTCCCGCCTATCCTCTCACGTGCTTACATCCCTCTGCCTCGCACCTCGCCCGCCCGCCTGCACGGTACGCGCGCCTCACCTGCCAGGCGGCGCAGCGCGTCAGCCATCTCCGCCAGGCCCAGCTGCACCGTCTCCAGCGCGCCCGCCACCTCCGCGGCGCACATCGCCGCTGCCGCTGCGGTGCCATCCCCATCCGCCTCCTCCGCCCCATCTCCGCGCGCCACCGCTGCTCCGTGCGCCGCGGGCTGCGGCGGCCGTTCGGGCTGCATGCTCGCGCGCGTGCCTCCAACAAGCTTGCTGGGCGGCGACGGGCGGGCGGGAAAAGCGACGATAAACGATCGATAAGGTCGCGGCGTGAAGAGAGGCGGAGCGCGGAGTGGAGAAGCGCGCGGAGGGAGGTGCGGTGGGTGGGAGCGTCACGCCTTGAAACGACAGCTCGCGGGTGACGCTTTGGGTGGCGAACAATTCTCAGCCCGACGTGAGTTGAGGATCGACGCGGACGGCGCGCACGCGTGGGCTGCGGAGATGCGCGGGCACGACTCGAGTCGGTAGTTGGCGAGCATTAGAGCGACATTGAAGCGTGCGGTGAAGCACCAGACCCGACCAGAGACCAATTTCCTACAAACGCGTGTGCCCTTGGTGCCCTTCTGCATCATAGTCCTATGTGACCTGTACTTGTGACGTAGTGTTACGAGTGCAATTGAGGGAGCGAACGAAGATTGCACTATCGAAGCAAGAGTACAATGAGCGAAGGCATGAGCGAAGGATTATATAGCGAAACTACAGTGGTAACGGTAATGTGTGAAAATGGGGTGCGCGACGGGCCTAGCGCCGTGGTTGGGAATTGTCGAGGCGAAGGTCCGGAGCGCGGGTTACCAACCGAGCCGTGAGGTTGGGTCGCGTCGTGAACAGTGGCGGGAACAGTACCGAGGCGAGTGTCGCGAGTGGTAACGGATTACTGTTGGGTGCTGTTGGCGGGAACAGTGCTGTACGCGCTGAGCAGGGACGCGAAGTAAGGAAAAGGAATTTTCCTTACACTACCCCCCCCCCCCCCCCCCCTTAAGGAGGTCCTCCTTACGAGAGCGCGTGTACATCCCGGAAATTGCGGCTTCGCAGGTACTCGGTGAGGACAGGGTGATTCTCAATTCTGTCCAGGGGAACCCAGTTGTCCTCCGTGGGCGTGCGATCTTTCCAGCGGATCAGGAATTCGATTCTGCGGGCTCCCCGTGGGTCATGTACTCGATGGCTTAGGATTTTCTCAGGCGTGATGATTGGCTCCGTTGGTGGTCGTGTCATGCTGGCTGGGCGGTTGCGAGGCAGTTGGCTGGTGGATGGCACGTATGGGCGGAGCAGGCTTACGTGGAACGAAGGGCTGACGTACCAGTCAGCAGGGAGGAGGAGGTGGGCGGTGACAGGTGTGATCATGTGGCTGATGCGAAATGGCGTATTACAACATTTGTATCATCATTCGACACAAGCTAGTGCGGACTAATAACGCTAGCTAGGATATACCCTATCCAAGTGGCATTAGCAAGGCGGTTTACTCTGGGGTGGGTGGTGGGAATGTTGAGTGAGCCGTTTGAAAATTGAGAAACGTGGGTGGAGGGAAATGAGCTCCAACCCACGGTTTTTGTAGTTGGAGAAGGGCGTTTAGCGCGCTTCGACGATGCCAATTGTGCAGTACAAGCAGCTTCGCTTTCACAATACACAATTTTAAAAAACACTACATGTGTGTTTAAAAATTATAATATTGAGAAAGCTTGCTTTCTTTCTTATCAATTGGCATCGTTCTCATTACAAATGGGTTCCCTGAGACATGGGCAGCGGGGGCCTTCGGTTGCGTACGAGTGCCTCTGTGTGTTGTGCCGATGACACCGCATGCGTCGAATCTTGGAGGGTACGGGAGGCTTCGATAAGAGGCTCGACGTATGGCGTAACATACATTTCCTTTGCTGTGTCGCTTCGCCATCTGCCCAGCCGTTTGAAGACTCTATCTGGCACTCCCGTGTTGGCTGCTACTGTGGCTGCACCTTTTCGGAAAGAATGGGTGCCTAGCTGCAGCTCTCCAAGGCCAACCTTTGCGAAGGCTTCCTTGCACCAGTTCCGGATCGTAGTGTAAGAAGGTGGCCTAGCCTGGCCCTCGCTGGTTGAACCGTGACCGAAGACACGAATCAATGGTCCCTCTGACCGTGGACCATAGCCAGCGAGTCGGATGAAGCGTCGGGTGCAGCGCACTGGGCAGCAGGGGTCCGCCGTTGCTGCAATGGGTATCCAAGTGCCGTGACCAGCTTGATCGGTCTTGGAATGTGGTATGAGAATCCACATGACCTCGTCGTCGAATTGGATGTCTTGCCATTTTATGGCTACTAGGTCAGAGTATCGCAGAAATCCGGAGTACATGAGGATGGGGATCAACCCTTTCTGAAATTGCGCAGGATCGTCGGACTGCAAGTAACTCGCGGCCATGTCCCGGACTTGTTGGATCGAGACGGGTTCCTTCAGACGAGTAGGGCGAGGGCAGTGTCGTTTTGCACAGTCACGGACTTGGGTGGTGAACGGTCCGGTTGTCGGGCATTTGCTCCCAGTCATGCGATGAGCGAAGCTGACCGCCGAGCACGTTAGCTGCACTACGGACAGGGTGGCTTTGCGTCGGATTGCGTGTACCAGGTACAGCGCGAGGGTCATGTCGGATGCCGGAAGGAATGGAAGGTTCACTTTTGTGCAGAAGGCTCGAAACTTGGCCCCATATGGTTCATATGTCCGGATCGTAGAATCGGCGCGGGACTGCGCGAGCATGTTGATCAGTTGGTCGTGTAACTTTGGGAGCAAATCTGAACACAAGGTGTAGATATTTTGAATTAGTCAAATGCCACTCGCAGTGCAGTGATTGGGCTGTGCGGTAGTCCCATGCCCGAAAAAGCAGTTGAATGGGACCCTACGTCTAGGCATTGGCTTCCGTGTGTCAGGGGGATGTGCGCGTGGATGTATGGTGCCCAAGTGCGTGGGGAGGGTTGCAAGAGTGGCCACCAGCTTGCACCTGGCCAGTGCGGAACTATCAGTGTGAGTGATGCATGGGTGCGTTGTGCGTGATGGAGGACGGCTGGGATCAGTTGAGGTGGGGGGAAGGCGAAGTTGTTTTCAGGTGTCCACGCGATCGAGAATGCATCAACTGCAATGGCTGCCGGGTGGGGAATCTTCGAACAGAATCGCGGCAGTTGGGTGTTGCGGAAGTTTGCGAAGAGGTCGATGGAGTGAGGACCCCAACGACGTTCCAAGATCCGGAACCACGGCGTTTTCAGCGCGTAATCGTCGTGGTCGACCATTTTTGAAAGCTCGTCGGCGTGTGTGTTGAGCTCGCGCGGAATCCATTCAATGATCAAGCGCGTGCCAAGCGCCATGCATGTTCGGATGATGCTCTTGCATGCCGTTGTGAGGTCGGGGCTGTGAGAGCCGCCTTTGCGAAGGATGAAGAATACGCCCTGGTTGTCCACCCGCACGAGAACGTGTTTTTGCTTGATCTTGTTCGCGTACGTTTGTAGCGCCCAAAGGACGCCTTCGATCTCCCGTCGTGTGCTAGACGTTCCTCGTAGCGGCTCTGACATGGTCGCGCTAGCTTCTTCGAGGCCACCCGGAAATGTGGTCAGAGTGGCGCCCCAACCATGAGAGCTGGCATCCACATGGATTACCGCGTCGTAGCTGTTCTTGACGTGAAAAGGTGCGCCGTTGAAACGGTCGAACTCCTCGAGCCAAAATTGGAGCTCTTCTGCTGCAGATGGGGGGATAACGACGCTGCTTTTCCATGACGGTGCGTCGTTGATCACTTGTAACATAGCATGGCTGAATGCGCGAGCGGTCGCGCCAAGTGCGACACCCATCGATGCGAGCATGCCAGTGATTCTGGCCACGTGGCGGACCGGGACTGGTCGGCATGCCTTGCTTGCGCTCAGGAGGTTCCGGATGGTTGCATGTAGTGAGGCTCGTCGGTCTGGACCGATGGAGAATCGGCCGGTATCGGTCTCAAGTTCTACGCCCAGGAATCTGAGACGCTGCGATGGTGACAGTTGTGATTTCTTCGCGTTTATCACAAGGCCTGCCTCTTTAAGATCCAATATCACCCGCTGGCAAGTTGCTTGCGCGTCGTCTTTCGACTGGCAGAGAAATAAGATGTCGTCCACGTAAGGGACGACTCGGATGCCTTGTTCTCGCCAACGCCGAGCTAGTTGCTTAATGAGCTGCGTGAAAACGAATGGAGCTGTCGCGAGGCCGAATGGTAGTGAACGGAATGCGTATGTGCGCTTGTCAAATTCAAAGCCAAGGAACTTCCAGCACGATGGGTGGATGTCGATGTGGTGGTAACCAGATTTGAGGTCAATGGAGAACATCCAGTCCCCAACGCGCGCCAGGTCGGCGACGCGGCTGAGCCCCTCGTACTTGAACTTGGGGATGATCAAGTTGGCATTGACTTTCCTCAGATCAAGAATGAGCCTGCATTTGTCTTTTTGCTCGACCACGTTGAGTGGACTTATGCACGTAAGCTCCGTTGCGGCCATCGGAATTGCCGCTCCCGTCTCTATGAGTTCTTGGATGGCGGTACGTGTGAACGTGGCATGCGTGTTTGCCCCGACATGATTGCGATCGTGGAAATGTTGCGGTGGGCCGTGGCTCCATGGCAACCAGTAACCCTTGGCGATGACGGAGAGGACAAGGCTGCTGGGGCACCATGAGCTCCACCACGCAAATGTCGCGCGGAGACGACCGCGCATGTGTGTAATAGTTCTGTCTGTAACGGCAAATTCGTACGGATCGTCGTAGCATGCCGCCTCGCACCGTCGTGCTCCTGTACATGTGAGGTTTAAGGTTTGAGTATTCCAAGTGGTATAAGGTTTGAGTACACCAAGTGGTATAAGGGTTGAGTATTCCATGTTAAAGCATGCGTGTGCATGTACATGTACGGGCAACCATTGATCGAAGGTGTGACGAGAATTAACCATTGAATGAAATGTCAACGAATGTGTCGGGAGTGTTAACGCATGTCAACGCATGTCTCTTCTTCTCCTCGTTTCCTCTTTTTTTTTTTTTTTTTTTGTCCCGTCTTCCACTTGGTAGGACGGTTGTGCCTGCCCTTAGTGCGTGGGGGCTGATGCCTAGGGCCATGGACACCGTTGTCCATTGTGCTTTCTCTCTTCTCTCTCTCTCTCTCTCTCTCTCTCTCTCTCTCTCTCTCTCTCTCTCTCTCTCTCTCTCTCTCTCTCTCTCTCTCTCGCTCTCT